TAAAGCAAGTTACTTTTAGTTGTTTAACAAACTTGAACTTTTATAGTGTAGTAGTTGATCCTTTTGAGATACCAAGTTCTTATTCACGAAAGTATACATCTTGAAGTCAAAATATTGAATATGAGTAAAGTGACAGTTGCTTAAAGCCATGCTGCTCTATCATGACAAGAAAAGTCTGCTGTCAGAACGAGAAAGGATTCCCATATGTCAAAATTCGATTTTCAGAGTGACGACCAGTACAGCAAATATGGATGTGATGTGGAAAAGGTATGCGACACTTCTTGGCCCTGGAGGACTTGCCGCTGCTGGCCTTCTACCTGTTCTACCATCACTTGGTGCACAACATTTGTGAATAATGTGAAGCCTTTTGGAGAAGAGCATTCTACTATCATCACGCTATATTCCTGAACAGATGGTCAAACCACTTCAATATTGCCAGTACTACAAATGCAGCCGGTTTTTTTTTCTTCTTATATAATCACGCATGACTTTTTCTACCTACTTTCTAATCTTCCACTCCTATGGAGTTCGTAGATGAACGTGTTTGTTTCCCCTTAGTTACGACGTATGTTTCAATGACAGTCTCATGACTTTTGCTGCCATTAGTTGTCCAATCCAAAATGACAGTGCATAGTGAATCTCGTCCAAAAACCAACCATGTACCCATTTCCTTTTGACCATCATCGTGTACTCATCGGTTCATGGCAATAGCCACAGGGTATTCTGATCAACCTCCGTAACATGTATAGACTGTGAATGATCATGGACAGCACTTAAAACAAGCTTATATCCTTCACTTCTTCTTTCTTCTTCTTCTTCTTCCCATCATTAATTAGGCTTGTTCAGTGATTACCAAATTTTCTGTATGCTGTAGGAACTTAGTTGTCGCAGCTGACGACATTTGTTCTGTCGGATGTCGCGTGACATCTACCTCTGTCAGCCTACTGTTGTATTTCTGTTGTGAACATGGAACATAATTATCATAAACGTTGTCATTGAACGATTTCGGCCTACAATCCAGCCACAATTCCACTCATATCCATACGAAATGGCTAGCTCTTTGACCTCAAGTGGTTTAACACCGCTTGAACATGCATGCAGTGTATTTGGCAAATAGGCTCGCCGCCGCCTACGACAACGACGACAACGACGACGACGATGACGGCGAGTGTCGTGGATAATGTGTAATGCCAATAGAATGGCTAAGCACGTTTCGTGACATAATAATCGCTTCTCTCGCGCACAAACAACATGCACCGTAGCCGCATGAACCAAAACATCTAGGCAGACCGACGGAGAGATAACTCCACTGTTTACACTCTCAAGCTGCTTTGAGCATCGCCGTGCATGTGCAAAATTCGCAAAGCGCAACGATCTGTACGGGGTGTTCCGGATGATTCATCTAGCTTCAAGGGATTGGCTAAGTAAACCTGTTTGGTTTTTGAATAGCTTATTGAAAGTTTTGGCAGATACCTATAAATAACTAGTAAACTTTGGCTTATGTCAAACAGCATGAAACAAAAAACCTCTACCTTATGAAATACTAATTTTGTTTTCTCCAGCTTGATTAAAATCCCTGGTTGTGCACGCTTTGATTGTCGACCGGTCACAATGTTGTTCCTCACTGAAAATCCTGAAAACCGGACACACTAGTCAGTCAGCTTCTCAACATCACCGCCAAACTGAACACAGTTCTGACCGCTAGAACCTAAATTCACACGGTTAGATAAATAAAAACCCTAGAAAATTATTTTTAAATCGACTTTTTCGGAGATTTTTGATAGTCATCAATAATCAATACAGCAAATGTAGATGATTTACTCTTCAATTACGATTTTGATTTAAGAAATACCCAGATACAAAACTACCATAGGAACTGGTGAAACTCATGAAAGAAACAGAGAAATTTAAATTTAAAATGAAACTTGCTTATTTTGTATATTTTCATACTGCAAATACTATTTTTTGACATTTTTGTGATCAACTTCACTTTGCAAACCTTGAAACTTGCTAAGAAATTAGTTTTGAAAAAAAGAAAGTGACATAAAAAGTTTTCAATGACTTGCACAAAAAATGTTCGATTGTCCCTCCTTTCACATACATATCAAGAAGGAACATGACCACTTCTAGCTCCTGTTGCTTATTTAGGCATGAAATTTTTTTAATTATACGAAACAGCCGATCACGTCTTGATTGGTTGCTCAAAAAGAATTATGAAATGAGTGTGACTTGATGCGTTTCAGTGGTCACATATTCGCTAAAGTGTCCAAGTATGTCATGTACTCCATCCTACGATAATTACTTACGCCATTTAACTGGTGTTCCACGTCCGCTGGTGCGAATACGGTAAAATCGACACAACGCGTAAATTGCACCATACCATAATTGACCGTCGAAAAAACAACATTGGAGACAGTTGAAGCGGAAACACGGCAAAAAGGCAGCTCATAGAGGGCGGAGGCGCAGAGTGGCCGGCCAGAGAAACAGGTTCAGATGGATAGAGGCGCGTGAAGACCATTATAACATCATAATAATACTAGACAGGAGAGTCAAACTACTTGGGACCAGATCGGCTACGGGTGTTTGGACCGCAGCGTTGAAAGGACAAAACAAAGATGAGCAGCATGAGTGTTGCCAGCAAAAAAATGCCTGCAAACCAGATGAGGTGACGGAAGTCGCTACTTTCGGGCATTTACCTGCGCTACCTGTATCCGAGGAGTTAGGGGGGCTGGTGAGATTAACTCAGCTGCCGAGGAAGGTTAGAAGACTATTTGGACTATTTGACTCATATACTTGACGGATCATTTGGTACGCAATTCGACTAAAAGGCAATTTCTATTTTATTGATAATATCGTGAGGTTTGTGTACTACTGCATTTGAGTCGGAATATTCTAAGTCAAATTTGAGGACATTACATCCGATCGCACATCCGCAGCTTTCTGCGAACTAGCAGAAAGAATTATACATTTCACAAACTCTCTAGTGATAACGTATAGGAATCAGACAATTAGAAACTGT